AATATTGATCAGTCAAAAAAATTTTCTCACAGCTGTGTGAGCAAAATTAAATATAATATTAAACAAAACTGACAAAGGACATAAATGAAATTTAAATAAAAATATTCTAACTTGACATGTTTTAAACACACAAAAATAACTGTCAAGACACGAACGAATGAATGTTCTAGTCTAGAAATGGATGTTCCAAAAATTATTGTCACTTAAATCCTGCAGAGGAATGGACTGTTGTCTTGCAGACAACGACAACCTCAAGACTAGATTAATAGAATAGAAACACCGAAGAACACGGTGCTCAATGTTTAACAACATGATAATAAAAAGCAGTGAAAATGCTTCAGTTTATAGAAGAAAAAAGATTGATAGAAATGAGCGACTTAACATTAATTAATACAAAAATAACACCAGAGGTTGAACCAGGAGAGAAAATTAGCTGAAATCTTACATTACTATTATACAATATATATTATAATTAGACAAATTTAATGAATATCAGAGAAAGTAAATACTCAACAAAAAGAAAAAAATCTTAAATTTACGAAAAAACACTTTTGGGCAAGTGTCCAGAAGAGAGATAATTTAGGAAAGGTAGCAGTAAAAATGACAGATGGTGCTTGGTTGCGATACTTCATACAACATCTTTCCTTTCCTATTAACTTTTAAAGACAACTTAATATCAAGCTGATATCACTGCATGTCCTTGGCATCGTCATTTAACAGATGTTTCCCAACCATTACAAACCAAACAGTTGGCACTTGTGGGGTTTAAAATCAACACCACGATTGTAGGTCGCTCGATTCAAACGAATTAAACACACACTCACAGAGCAGAGAGAAGGCGACACGGAGCGACCCTCGACAGTGAAAGGAAAGAAAGGGAAAATAAACACAGGCCCTGGCGATGTCCGTTTCCAATATAATCACACATGCAGCTGAAATAACGCATTTTTAATGAAGCCATTACAGGCCCCACTATGTTAATTAAAACCAAATAACTTGTCTGTTTTAAACTAGTGTTGTCAAGTGTTTATTTGGCCAATTACAAAAGCAGTGGGAGATCATTATCTGCTGCCAGGAGCGTTGACAGCACGTAGCGCGAACAGAAAAGAACAGACATGAATGCGGTACTTCAAAGGAAGAAATGTGCCGCACAGGCTGGGGAGCGGAGGGGAGGGAAGGGAGGCGACAGAAACGGGGGAGAGTCAGGGGGGGTGGAGAGAAAATAAAAGAGTAAATTGAAGGAAAAAGTGTAATGAGAATGAAAAGTTAATGAGATGAGAGTGGGGAAAAACTCAAATGATGTTAAACAAAAATGAGAATCATTAAGAAAAGAAAATCAAATACATTTATTCAGATTTTAATGTATGGCATTTTTTCATCTCCATGAAAAGATTTTTTTTTCTCATGGACCAAAGCTGTAGTTCCCAAAGTAGGGCTGCGAACAACAAACCATAGTGGGGGGGGGGGCTTAAATACTTGTCTCTGCAGAGAAGGATTTTAATATCGTATGAAACAGTCTTTAATCAAATTATACATGACTTTAAACAAGAACTTCTTTGTTTTTACCAAAAGTCTATTTGAATGAATATGAAAACAAGTAAAAGACTCAGCTCATAGGAACGACAAGGCAGGAATTGGATACTGTCTTGTTTAAACGCGACCCAACGCGTTAGATCCAGGATGTCTCCTATAAAGAAGTGGTTTTGTCTAATGTGCAGAATTTAATAAGAACAGGCCTGAGAACCTGGTGAATTAGACCTTTCAAATAAACTGCCGTCCTTTCTTCTGTAATAGTGGGAATAGAAAAAAGTCCAAACACATCAGTCTCACAGATGTGGAACCTATTTGAGAACATAACCCAGCTTATTCTTAGCCTTCTGTTTATTTTCTAAGCATCTCAGATTCTGTCTAAATATATTTGTGCAAATTCACTTAGGGGGCTGGGAGAAGGATTAGGAGGAGGTGAGATAGAGTACAGTATCACTGTAAGGAAAATAAGACGCTGACTTGACAGTGTTTGGCCGTCCACGGCGGCTGGGCTGGGAGAGCTGATTGGTGATTATTATAGCAGCAGTCTAAACATGTTCACCATGAGCTGAAGGAAGAAGACCTCAGAGTGGCCAGCACAGCGCTGTCTTTTATGTGTAACGGTGGAAAAACTGTTGAATTTAAACAAAGAACAGACTGGACAGAGTTTTCAATCAGTGGTTAAAAGGAGAAACAGTCGTTGTGGTGAAGATGTAACGCAGTGATACGGTAGAAGGTACTTACTGAAAATGGAAGAAAAAATGACTGCAGTTTTGGGGTCCAGAACTAGACTTAATGTTGAATTGGCTCCTTTTTCAGGTCCTTGTCTTGTCATGGATGGAGACTTTCTGCATTTCTATGATCTGGAGAGCGTTACTGTCTGCAGCTAGCTCCTAGTCCTCTGTCATCTATGTCAACTGTCATGCTCAGTGGGCAGAGCTCCTTGAGATGTTGAGACTAATAGAGGAAGTACAGCGTCTTTACTTCAATGGTTCTGGTCAGACCAAGCCCTAACCTTCCAGACAGTTCTACTTTCTGGGCTTGTTTATGATTAAAATGGTAAATCAAATAAAAACATCATTAGGCCAGTGATTCTCAAAGGTTTTCTGCTGCATCTAAGCCTCCTTTCTACGTTGAACATGGACCACAGCCTATTTAAAAACTGTAACTCCTGCAAATCATTCTCATTCAATGAAAAATAAGAGTTAGAGAATTACAAATCAGTGTTTTTAAAAAAATGTAAAATATTAAACTGAAATGTAGCTCTGTGCCCCCTGTGGAGGGTGTGCCCCTTACTTTGGGAGTCACTGAAATTAAACTGAAGTTCTGAACTGAACAGAAGTTCAACATCAATGAGTAAAAGAACAGATTAATAAATTAATTTGCCAGTTTTACAGATCGTCTCCACACGCAGCCCAGCGTCTTGGTCAGTGTTGAAATGTGAAGCCAAAATATTTTAAGTAAAATTTGCTCCGAGTTCTTTGCTTGGATTGTGTGGATCTGCTAATGTGTGTTACAGATGACTCGAAAAGAAATGAAATGCAGCAGACAAGCAAGGGGGGAGTGTACAAAAGAAAGAGTGACACTCTCCAAAGCCACAGAAAACTTGAAAAAAGAAAGAAGGTTTCAACAGTTGTGCAGTATTACAAATGCAATAGTGGTCTATCCTCTATCCTCTGATCCTGGCAGAGCGACAGTGAGAGCGTCTGGATGGGATGGAAGCCTCCGAGGCTCCCTCTCATTTAATTACAACACAGAGCTGGAGGATTAAACAGGGCCTGTGTTCACAGCCCAGAGTGGCACTACTACTGCACTGCTTCACTTTCTGTCGTCCCAGAATCTTTCCTCTTTCTTTTCTTTTCTTTTTTTTTTTGGAATCATGTTTCTTTTCTTTTCTTTTTTTTTTGGAATCATCTCCCCTCATCTTCTTTTAATATATTCTCCTCTTGTCTTTTCTCTATTCCTCTCCGTCAGACTGTTTCTCTGATTAAATGTTTTCTTTGTTTAAGCTTTTGTCTCCTCTGCTCTCTTTTTAAATGATTCTGCAGTCATCATCTCCCCCTCTCCCTCTCTCTCTCTCCTCCGCCCTTCTAATCCTCCCATCCTGTTTTTGCTGGAATTTCATCTACGACGCAGACACATCTTTATCTCTGTCTCAAACACATGTTTACTCTTGATTATAAAGAGACAACTGTGAATCCTTTAAGTGACAAAGTTGTGAGCGGGCCATTTGTTTGCTTGAAAATATTTGTTGAAGTGTGTGATGGTGACGAAATGAGGAGTGTAAGCTACTTGTTAATGTGTATGTGTGTGTGTGTGTGTGAGTTTGGGCTGTTTGTGCCCCAGTGGTCTCTACAGACTACAGTGGCACAATGCCTGGGCAGGCCTACACACACTTGTGCGTGCGCACGCACACACACACACACACACAACCGCACCTCTATACAATCAGCACCATCTTCTCCTCCTCATGCACTCTCATCTTGATTAATGGAAATCCCATTTTTGTTTCCAGCAGCATGGTTAATTAAACTGGTAGTTATAACAATGCTCATTAGTTCACTACCACAGAGCGCGGGGACGGCGCTCTCTAATGGCCGGCTGTAGCCGCAAGTGCCGCAGTACACCTCACAACAGTACAGTTAGCGCTGACAACTGTATCCCAACGCCGTCACAGTGTAGTGTATTCACCACGGACCGATTGCTAATTATTATTCAGTGAATATGGTGTGTGCACAGGTGGAAGGATAAACAGCTCATTTAACTATAGCTCCCACACAGGTACGAGTAAACAGACGCAGCCGAGCTCCAGGTCTGCAGTACACGTCAGAGTGAAAACATATTTAGAGGAAAAAATTAAATTGAATTTTCTTCTCCTAACTCTTGGCTCTGCTTCCCTCCCCACTCTCCCCGAGCTTCAGCTCAGACCCTCCATGTTAACACCAATTACAGCTGTGGATGTCTCCAGCAGAGACTTGAGCTGCAGCCAAGACTGCTTCACAACCTGCTGCTTCACTCAGGATTCATTTGGAGATTATTTGATAAGAGTGATAGAATGGAATTTCGCTCAAAAGACAGACTATTTACTGCCAAAACCATTCTTCCCAGGTTTTACACACAAAAAGTGTTCACTGTGCGTGTGCCAACAAATTACTCACATTTCTACGAGGGAAGGTGGTTAGGAGCTTGAACTCGTCGAAGGGGAAACCCTTGGAGGCTACAAAGTCGAACAGAACCTGCAGCTTGCAGCTCCCCAGGAAACGCCGCTCCAGAAACTCGCCGCTCGGTGTCCGGATTCTTAGTTTGCTGATTTGCTCTCCAGCCTCCTCCTCGGGCTCTGGCGGTAGGGCCTGCTCCAACGAAAGGCGGATCGCCTGAGAGGAAGTGAAGGAGTGTTGTGGTAAGAACACTGTATATTTATACAAACTATTTCAAAATAGGTTGGTACAATTCATGATTTTTCCTTTAAACAAATAAAGTATGTCGATAAAGTTGATGATGAAGATGTGTAAATAAAGATAAACAGCCCTTTGTATTTATACACTTTTTAAAAGATTCAAATTCTGCTCGTTTGCACAACATTTGCTGTCAGGTGTAAATTTGTGCATGCTAGGCATCACTGTGATCATCACACCCAATAATAAAACTAAGTGGATTAACGCAGGAAAGGAAGGGAGCCAGGAAGCTTTATACAAAGTCCCCACTAATACAAGGGAAAAAAAAAACAAGATTCAAGTTTAATTATAAAAACCCAGTTCCCTCTCTGTTTATAGAAATTCACCCAAAGACTTAACGGCAACACTGGCAGCTCCGCTGATGATGACACACTATCCAAATAAGTATGAGGAGGAGCCAAGAAGTTGCACTGAGAGGCTGATTGCAGCACTGTTGCCTCACATTAATTAAAGGACCTTCTTGTCCTGAGAATGTTATTAAATTAGGTGTCCTGAGTCTCACCCCGTTCCCTGAAGCCCGCTGTAACTTAAGAGTGTTGCCAAGTAGTATTTCACTGCGTTCACAGCAGCCAAGCTTATTCTCTATCCACAAAGAGAAAGTAAAACAAGTAATGACAAATGTATCACTTGATTATTAGACATTAAATCTTGTATCCTGTAGGATAACAGTCCATAAAGAATAAGTGTGTGTTTTTATTGACATCACCACAGAGGGGTTTGATTAGACCTAAAAACAAAGACAATCATCAACTGTCATCTTGCAAAGCAAAGTCTAATCAGGTCTACACGGTGAAAAACTGTGCCTCACCGACTCCCCAGAGCCTCCCTCTTCTTTCTACTCCCTCCTGCCCTTTCTCCCCCTCTCCTCCCCCCATCTTGTTGTTCCTGTTAGGCCAGCCTGGGAGCATATGCTGTGACAACACGCCCCGGCTTTATTTACACACCATAATGCAATTATATTTCATAAGAGTGTACAACAGTAGCTCATTAGCAGCTTCGGGTGTTGGGTGGGCAGAGTAAGGCGCGTGCCACTCCGCCATCAGCTCCCTCAGGTGCGAGAGCTGATGCTGACTGAGTTAAAGTAACCCCAAAGGACACACGTGTAGCGCTCACACACACATCAGACAACACAGTGCGGGGGAGGGAGTGACATATAAATACAGACAGACAGTCAACCACAGATACAAGCATAAACACCATGAAAGTGAGGGGTGGCGTCCCCAAAGAAACCACAGGACACACGTCTGGTCCAGCCTGGGGGGGGGTCTGGCTCCTCCACACAAACACTGGCTGTCATCTATCCATACACTTAGGAGCTTCTCCAGCTCCGCTCGGCTAACCGCAGAAAGCAAACAGATGACTGCTAGTGCACCTGAAAGCCACACAACTGTATGCTAAGACCCCCTAAAGGAAGTAAATAGTAATGTCAACCCACACAGGCACATGAACCGCATACACACTGCACCGCACTGCCACCTGCCTCTAGCCTTCCCTGCACAAAGGCACTAAATCACAGAGAAAGCGTTCCCTCTTGTATTTTCCTCTCTCTGGAGGCAACTTGTGTTTTTGTGTCTGCAAAAAAAAAAAAAAAAAAGGAGTTGTTGTAAAACAACAAAAAGGAATAAAATAAATGAATTGTAAAGTGAATTGTAAGAGATGCTGAAACAGATTCACATGGTTAAACTTGTGTTGGAGATGCACACCTTAAGGCCAAAGGGAACAACGTTATCACTTCAAGTGGCTCTAATTACTCACAGAGAGTTTTAAAAAGGTTTTGTCTGATTTGTATAAAAAATACAAAGCTAAATACTTTACCATGAATCCTAGTATGTACCAAAATATCATTAAAACAGTTGCTGATGTCATGTCATGTCATGTCTAAAGCCAAACTCAGTAACTCCTACAAAGAGGTTGTAGGATGTAGTAGAAGGGAAGAAGAAGTGATGGTTTGACTGATCAAAGTTTACTGTCGTAGGTATGAAACCAGGAACTACACCAGTCCTCGTTAGGTTGTGTTTCCTGCCATCTTTAGCAAATTATCCTTAAAATGTTAGGAGAGGTAAATAAATGAACGTGATACTGGCATTGACCAAAAAGTCTTAAATAACAAAATAATCACACACGTGAAGATTTTCCAGTTTTCTTATGAAAACGCTATCAATTGCTCTTCATTTTTAAAGGACACAGTTTGTCTGTGGGAGTCTCAGAGAACTTTGGTGTAGTGAGGGGTGTTTCATTTACAATCTGTTCCAAACTACAAAGACAATTTAATTTGTTCACATATTGACTGTAGCTCCAGAAAAAAAACAACAACAACGACTAATTTATCAGAACAGGAGACAGATTAGAATCTACGGCAGTCTGGCACAGAAAACTAATGAGTTGTTCACAGTGACTTTTTTTCCCTAAATTATTAGGCGTGTACACAGTTGGTTTAAGGACTACAGTGATATAATTAAACACGCTCTGTCCTGAACTCCTTTATTAATGTCTGTTTAACATAAAAGACAAACCACCTGAGCTGGTCGGGTCACCTGATACCCCTGAGTGCCCCGCGGCTCTGAGCTGCTAAGTAAACAACAGTCATCCAGAACTACACTGTATTACTATAGACTGTATTACAACAATGGTGCGGTCCATACAATACAATTATTGTTTTTCCCGCATGCGTGACAGTGTGTCGCTCCGTGGATGCGTGCGTACGCACATGTGTATTCACGGCCTATTCATATACAATAATTGTTTTCCATTGAGCATGTGTGTTTGCCTGGGTTATGAGTGTTTGTGTACACGACTCAGTCTTTTGTTCAGTTAATTTCAAAATGAGGCCCAGGTTTTAAACCCATATTAAATAGAACAAAGAAAAAAAACTGTGTGGATGTCAGGTGCCACCAGCAGAGACGGCCCACACTGTAATTAGGATATTTCATTGTTCCAACATGGATGCAAGCCCATTATGCTGACTGGCAGGCTCCACCAAAACCTTTAATCTAATTGACTCATTATTGTGATGTGACAGAGATAAAACAAATGACAGTACAGCTGCACCGTCATCGTGGCTTGGCAAAATGAACAGCTCTCAGGCTTTGCACTCTTTGCACTGGTCTTAGCAATAATTAATAGAATAAGAATTTGACAAAAGTATATTGTGTGCTGAGGCTTCGTCGTCTTCTCACCTCCTTTTCCTCCTCCTGCTCCTTCCTCATCTGTTCCAGGCGGACCTGCTCGGCCTCTTCTCTCTCCTGGGCTTCTCTCTAAATAGCCAAAAAATAGTCATTTCAAACTTTGATCAGTACAAATATGAGCAGACTTTTATATTATACGTTTTATGAACATGCAAACAGGACAAATATCATTTCAGTCAACTAATTCTAATTTAAATTTAGTCAACTAAAAACACTTTCAGGTATTATTGACCAAAACTAAACTAATAATACAATAGATCTATTGACTAAATAAAGACTAAAACAGAGTTAGACTTTAATCAAATAAACTACAAATAAATTGAAATTGGACATCAAAATGAACACCGGTCACAGGCTGGTTTTAGGGAGTTACTGCAGTTCAGTGTTGTAGGCAGGTTTACAGCACAGTCACACAAACGTAAACGCTGTTCAAAGTCTAAAAGCCACCTTTTAGAAGTTGAAAACAGGAGATGTTTGTAGATACCTTCTTACGGTCAGCCTCTAACGACAGACGATAGGCCTCGTCCTGTTCTCTCTTCACCATTTCTCTCGCCTCGCGCTCGTCCTGGGTAAAAAAAAGGAGGGGTTGGGGGAGTTGGGAGCCATTAACGAACAAGAAAATAAAGGATACTCGGTGACAAAGCATCTAAGCTGAGGTGGTGGGTGTGGGAACAGAAAAGAACTAAGGAGAGGAAAACGAAGCATGTCAAGTGTGGTTACGTACAAACACCAGGTATGAAAGAGTAGCACCAGAGGGGAATTCATTGTAATGGCTGTGTCGTTTAGCAGAGCCAGAGCTTCTTTTATGTTTCCTCATCTCAGTTTCACTGTCCCTTTCTCTTGCTTTCACTCTGCCTCTCTCTTCCTGTTTGTACAGAGGGAAGGGGACAGGCGGCCTTTCATTTTCTACCTGCTGTGGCTACAAAGTGTTTCATAAAGGCCAGGCCTAAATACGAGTGCCCATTGTGCAACGCCGCTCGTTTTTTCCATTTTCTGAATGTCCATGCTGTGTGTCGGCCCGGATACGGCAAAGTAAGCTTTGTGTTGAGGACAACTGTGCAACAAATCAGAGGCTGTTCAAAAGAACAGTGAGCATTGTTGCTTTCAATCAAAGAAATGCAAAGGATACACTTGTGCTTTTGGACTTTTTAATGGCTGAACACTGAAAAGAAAGTGTGGAAGAATGAGAGACGGGAACAAAAGCATCAAAAGTGGTAACCTTCAATGGACCAGCGCTGAATCGCAAAAAACACTGGCATAGTATAAGCTTTGAACCCTCACTCTGTGCTGTTGTCAAGTGTTTTCAAATGCACTGTTTGAATTACCAATCTGCACCAGAGACACTAACATTTATCGTGTCTTTATCCCAGCTGCTGATCGGACCTCCAGAAAGACACAAAGGTCAAAGTGTGGGTTCTTGGGTCATGGAGAGATTAGATCACATTAAAGAAAAAGACGTTCAGTGGAAGTCGGTGGAAAATTACAGAAAAAGTGTACCTTCAATTAACCACATTCTGTAGTGGAAAAATGGTTTGTAGAAAGAACAGTTAGCACTGTATTATGAGTTACATTCCCTGAGACTCAATCACTTATTTTAGATGTGACTTAAATTTTAATTGTACTTCAAAAATTCAATGCTGCAATACTGTTCTGTAAAAGTCAGGGTCCGATAAACACACAAGGTATGACAAATATGTTAACATCGGGGTTGGGCGTTCAGAACACTGTTTCAACTGTCAGCTTGTATTCGTCTAATCAAAGGGTTGTAGTAGCAACAGAACAATCCTGTATTGGCCTGCCTGGAGGATGAACTCTCAGTCAACCTCATGAGTCAGCCTGACTTGACACATGTACCCAACCACGCAGCTCTTCATTCCTGTTTTTCGTTAACAGTTATGTTCGTTTGAAGGCAGCCAGACTTTTGTAGTGATAACAACAACTCGGTTACTGTCACTCAACAATCGGTGACTCACCTGAGGAGGTTCTCACCTCCTTTGTGTCTGTGCATGTGTGTGACAGGATTAGAAGCGTTCCAATTACAGAGACACTGGGACCACAGCGCACTAATATCATTAGGACGGCTGCTCCGTTGAGCAGCTGTAAAATGTCTAACATTGTGTGACGTGTCATCTTTAGCAACTGTAGTCAGAAAAAAGGTCACACAACAACATTCACAAATGTTGGTGGGAAAAAACTGACGTCAATGATCAGGACTCCAAACAGGCCTCTCTCCATGAAGGAGACGACAGATATAACAACGCAGGCAGGTGAAAAATCTTTTGAACGTAATAAAAATACAAAATAAACAAAATAAAGACAGAAAACCTGCCTGGACAAATTCTTTTGGTGTCTTGTATTCTTGTGTTTGACGTCATTAGGTAAACATGTCAGTGAGTAAGTTGTTAAAAGATTCCAGTCTATGGAATGTTTCCATTTGTGGTCTCCCATTTCTACTTAGGTTAAAAAAAGTCTTTGAAAAGATTTTGACATCACAAAACCAAGTATGGAAATCAACCAACACACAGTAGTAAACACAGATTACTAATATAACCTTTTGAAGTGAAAACCAGAGCTCCACAGAATACAGAGCAACCTCAGCCCTTTAGTGATGCGTCCCTAATGATGTGTCCTCAGTAAAAGTATGTGCAGGTGTGTGTGTCAGGCACATGCTCACAAATGTGTGATAACTGTTTAGTTTTGTTAATGTTGTCATGATAGAAACCTATTTTGAGATATATATGATACATGAGATAAGAAAAACATATATATAAAGTTTTCTCACACATTTCAGACTTTACCTCATCTTTGATGTCCTCTTGTTGCTGTGCTGTGAAGATCTCCATGGCTCCCATTAACCTCATCATCAACTCGTCCACTGTTGTGTTTCCTAAAACAAACAAACAAAAAATAATTATATCTATACATGTATACACATTTATATACAAATATACATATATATATATATATATTTACACACATAAATATACAGTATATATATTTTTTTTTTTTTTTGGGGGGGGGGGGGGAGATTACCTTGGATAACATTTAAAACTTCGTTGGATGTTCGTTTGCGGGGGGGGGGGGATTACCTTGGATAACATTTAAAACTTCGTTGGATGTTCGTTTGCCCATGACTATGAGGAGCAGGGGGAACTGGTCTGTTTTGTAAGTCCTTATCGTTTGTGTTACAACACTTCCAAAGTGTCGGGTACACATGGTGAGTAATCTGAAAGATAAAAAAAAAACAATCAGTTTATGACACTGCCATTTATTTTATATCATATTTTATACGATATATATGATATATATGATTTTATATTGGCTGGATTGAATTATTGACAAGTTATTTGAAGGAAATACACATTACAGACAAATATGAATATAAAAGTGCACCCGTTTGTTTTTGTTTTTTTGTTCTTGTGCAGGTATATAATGAACTTGTGGGTTTTAAGGACTTTAAATCCATTCTTCCCATTCTTTTCCTGTTCCATCAGAGTGACAAGCTACCTCCACTGGAACCACATTTGAATTAGTATTCCTCACCAGACACCTGGAATTGATAGGGCAGGAAAGGATTTCCTATTCCATTACAAAGACAGAACTTTTTAAATTAACATTTCAGAGAGGGAAAAGGGTAGCCGGCAGCTGAGGTGCTGCCAAGCTCCCTGTAAATGTCATAATATTAATGAATTGCTATAGAGTGAATGCAAATATAGATTAGCTTTTTCTCCTGCCTTTTAATAAGATCCACTTTAATAACTGGCTGGAAAAATAAAGAGGTGATGGAATGGTTGGACGGACAGCAGGTCACAGAAAGGAGATAAGATGGGAGGGATGAAATCTGTGATGGGGGCGTGTAACTCATTATAACAGGAGGCCAAAGCCTCTTCAAACTGTGAAATTGAGTATCACAGCTCATTGTGGTGGTTTTAAAAGTAATAATCATACTGTGAATGAAAAACAAAAGCCAGAAGTGAGAGCTGAAAAACAGAGCAGAGTTGACAAGAGTCAGACAATGTTGAACTTTAGGTGACCTGCTTCCTACAGTGGAAAAAAAGTTGGGTGCCCTCACTCCTAGTGATCGCTCCGTCCTGACATTTGTCCCTCTTTAGACCTCGATTGAGGCAGATCATAACAATAGCCCACAGGGAAACTTTAACCTGTAATGAAAGGCCAGCTAACAATAGACACCAACTTGAAGGGTAATCCAATCCTAAATCTCATGTGGAGCACAAACCAGCCTCCTCTAAGTGTCCAACCTGCACCTTAGTACAGAGATTATCATCATCACCACAACATCAAAAAAACCTCACAGGTTTATAAGCACCAAACGTCCACCGTCACCCACACTCTACCAGGATATGAACTATTGATACAGTTTCTCTACCAGGATATGAACTATTGATACAATAGTATCAATAGTTCATGGAAAAAACACTGTACCCAGTTTAAGCCACAACCCATCGTTGGGTTAATAAAATAAAATAAAATGATAATATAAAGTATGACACATTGAAAGTAAGTGCGATTATATATAATGATGGAAGGAAGGAAGGAAGGATAGCTACTGTAGGTCACAAGTGTCAAACTCAGGCCTGAGGTGTAATTATATCATCGCCACTACAGCATATACTGGTGGGATTTGTAGTATTAGCGATGTATGCACTATAGCATGGCAAGTACATTTCTGGTTGTTCTTTTGTTGGCCTGTGAAATAAAATGTACATTAAAAAGGGACTCAAAAGGCTACAGATAAAGAGACATAATAAGGAACAGAAACCACTGATGTGTGTTTCATTTCCAATTTAATTTCTCGTGTGTTTATAATATTAAGCTTTGGTTGTTCCAGATTCAGTGTTTACGCAAAATTAAAGTTTGTTTCCAAATGAAATAATTCATGGAAGGAAGGAAGGAAGGATAGCTACTGTAGGTCACAAGTGTCAAACTCAGGCCTGAGGTGTAATTATATCATCGCCACTACAGCATATACTGGTGGGATTTGTAGTATTAGCGATGTATGCACTATAGCATGGCAAGTACATTTCTGGTTGTTCTTTTGTTGGCCTGTGAAATAAAATGTACATTAAAAAGGGACTCAAAAGGCTACAGATAAAGAGACATAATAAGGAACAGAAACCACTGATGTGTGTTTCATTTCCAATTTAATTTCTCGTGTGTTTATAATATTAAGCTTTGGTTGTTCCAGATTCAGTGTTTACGCAAAATTAAAGTTTGTTTCCAAATGAAATAATTCAACATTACAGATCTGGAGTGAAGGGAAAACATGAACGATTGTTGTCAACGTTTCAATAAACATTGGTCAAACTCAGGCCTGAGGTGTAATTATTTACGTCAAACTCAGGCCTGAGGTGTAATTATATCATCGCCACTACAGCTGTCCTGGTTTTCAATTTTGGCCCACTGTGAATTTGAGTTTGACAGCCCTGCTGTAGGTGGACTGATGGATGGGTGGAAAGCCAGATGGACAGTAACAAACTGAGGAAGGCACTTAAGGGTGATTCTTAATAAAGAAATAAAGAAATGCCTCTACTTCTCTACTGACAATATGAAGATTCATGGATCATATTTCTGTTCAATATTGTATTTGAGTCATCAGTACACAACACGTAGTGACAACACACTGAGTCCAAACCTAGGTGAACAGTTCATCACCGTCTTCTCCAACCGTATCCTAACGTTGTGAAGAATGCAGCCTTCACCAGATCTGTGCCCTTTTTCAAACTCCCTTCAGGGCGACTTGAAGAGGAAACACCTGGTTGAAAATTGCAACTAATGTGCATTCAGGACTCTGCTCCGATGCTCCATTAGATTGACAGGGTCTAATTGGTCAGACATCCTGTCTTCACTGCACACCCAGACAGCTCAAATATTCAATGTTTCCCTGTACTGTCACGTCCCATTTCTACACATCAATATCCTGTGCATTTTTGTGACTAGTTAAGCACGACACCTGCTCCACTGAGCAGCTGACGGCTCACACATGCACAGTAGCACTGGAGGCAATCTTTTGACCAGCATGGGAACCCAATGCTTCAATAGCTCATCGTGTCCTAATCAACCATGGAGCTGTCTGGATTTGAAAATGACATTTCACTTCCCAGCAATGACTTCAGGAAGGGGGATGTCAACGGGAATCTTCAGGTGTACACGCTGGCTTCACATGTTCTCACAGGTTTAGTCACATTAATATAGATGAGCACAAAATGATAAAACACCACTAAAATAAAAAAGTATTTCCCTTGTGCTTTTCAACAGAACAAGAATATTTAAATATGTACAAGAGGCTGGAAATAAAAAGCATTTTCACAACAACTATGTTTGTGAATGCAAATTTTTTTTGATGGCTCAAACCCTGAACCCTGAGCCATGTTTATGAATTGCATGTATTCCTGACATATAAACAATCATTCTAACTTTAATTCACCTATCTATTTTTTTCTGTGGTTCGATGCATGATCCTATCCTGAAGGTGATTGGCAGTTAAATACATTTGGCAATCGTTATTTTCAAGAACTTGAAAAACTACTGCCAGGCCTATTTAAGATGTGCATCAACTGCAGTTCCTGTACAATATCATTTCCTGTTGTTAACAGATACACTACCATCCGATCTACAGAACCAAAGTCAAACATTGTTAGTCATTCTGCAGAAAAGCCTTTTCGAACACAACGGGAACATTCCAACATCGGCAGGTCGGTCAAAAGTGGTCAGAAAACCCTCCGGTCTGTGCGACTGTGGCCACTTTGGATGGAACTGAGAGCGTGAGAATGGAGAAATGCAATGCAGGGTTTTGTGTGCATGCATGCGTTAGCGGCAAAGCTGCGACTGGCTGTGCCTGATGAAAAGCTCCAGATGTTAAATGCCCTTTAATACACAATAAACAGACTCAGCTGGGGCAAAAAGCAAAATAGGCTAATGATCGAGAAGGGAGAGCGGAATGGAGGAAAAAGGACATTTCCTAAAGAGAAATAATGGAAGAGTGAGGTCAAGGTGCAAGTCATTCTTCACAGCAGTTAGCCAAGGACAGGCTTAAATGTGGAGTATTTTAGTGAATTAGTGGAAGAGAAAAAAAACTGAATAAAGACCAATTAAGAAAAACGGAAGGGAAGATGAAAAATAGCAAAATGATGAGAATAAGTCAAACAATACTGAGGTTTTGACTAGTCTCTGGTCTCAGATCAGTTACGGCGGCAGAACCTACATACTTGTACAGATAATGAGACACAATACACAGAGTTGACAAGTACCAACACAGGCTGCTGGACCTGCTAAACTTTACAGAACAAATTAGGAGATAGAGATATTTAGACTCCGGGGGAGTCCTTCATCTCCCACTGACCCTCTATTCACACAGCTTTGTCACCATTGCCCAATCAGGGCCTCACCATGCAAACACAACGCCTTTTGTTAGCATGCGAGCTCCAAGCTTCAAAAAGAGAATGACGTTGAAGAAAAAACAAGGAGACGAGGATACAGGCTGTGAGCCACAGAGTGGAGTGGAGGGCTGAACGGCAGCCATTAAAAACTAATAACTCATTAAAAAGTGTTTATATATGAAAAGGCTTTTTATATGAACTACGCTAACAACCTCTCATTATGTTACTATTATGTTTTATAGGTCTTTTAGGAAATAATTAATAGCAGTAAAAGTTAAAAAAAGAAAACATAAAACACACAAGAATGAAAAAAGCAAAGTAGATTCTAATTCTAATAAAATAATAGCCATCTCAAAAGTACCATTAAAATAAGACCAAGATATTAGGACAACATTTTCCCACCATCCTTCTAAACAGTTTTTTCAGGAAGAGCGCAGATTCAGTCTCACACAATCACACGTCTCTTCTACTGAACATTTAATATCCTCTTTATTAGATACACCTCAATATTTATGCAAACAGTCCACCGCGGCCTACAGTGAGTCACATATGAATAAAACATTAGGATTAAGTATGTAGTGAGGGCTTAGAGGGTTCACTTATTGCTCTACTAAACTTTACAGCTGGGAAAAGAGGCGATTCCAAACACAGGTGCTGGGATCTGTGAGAGGACTGCAGAAACAATGCACTTTCCACTGCCTGGAAAGTAATTCATTTTGTTGACATTTATTGACAGTTTAAAAAAAAGGTTGTGTTTTAATGATGACAATTAAAACTTATGTAATGGAGAAAACAGAGTTTTACGTGAGACTGCAGTTTTGGTTGGAACAGTTCATTTGTTTCTAGTTTTTAACATTGAAAAAATATATATAATTTTACAAGTTGAGTGTATTTAGCATTTATGTTTTCCTCTTACGGGTAAAACATAGTTTTCCTGTATTTCAGTTATGATCCAATATTAAACACAAACAATAAAGCTGTTGAAATGATTTAAAAGGTGCATTTAAACACAATTTTAAAGATCAATTAAAGTGGAAAAAAATGAATGCTGACAGAACCAGGATGGTAATATCGTACAGTATATCTAGTACTAGTTTCTCTCCACTATTTACTCCTCCTCTCCATCATCTCACCCCCTCTATCGCCTCCCTTCTTTTCTCTAACCACTGCTGTCACCATCAGTTTTTACTTTTATCTCCAGACAACTGCACATATGTGAGCCTGGCTCTGACAAAAATTATTTTTTAAAAGATGTTTTTGTTTCTCTCCCCGCGGTCACTAAAGCCAGCCCAGTGTGTGACCTGCGGGGATTCTGTGATATTCGCTGCAAAACATATTATACGTTCTAGTTTCTTGTTAATACACTTGATGTCATACTTACCTAAATTTATTTTTTATCAGTAGGTTGGAGGATTAAACCAAATGAAAAGGTTAACAATGAGGAAGCGTACCTGGCTTTGTTAGCTTCCTTAGTGATGTCCCACGCCCATGTGATAAAGTTCTGGCTCAGGTAGGAGACAATGGAGTCAGCACACATCATTTGGGAGCAGAAGACATTGCTGAGAACACTGTCGTCATTGTGGAGGTAGATGGCCAGCAGCTTTCTCTGGGGGGGGGGGGCAAATAAAGGAAAGGTTTTAGAAAACATGTTCACACAATTCCAAAAGTCAAAGAAAAAAAAAGAGACCACAGCAACAAATGGATTTCATGAGAAGGTGAATTCATGTTCACGGAATAAAATAAACCATGGCTCTGCAGAAATGCAGGAAAAATGACACGAAAGCACACGACAAAAATATCAATGATCTAACTGTAATCTTTAAAATATGAAAAAAAAACATCAACTTCCCTCTGATCTGCAGAGTGAGGTATTTCAGAAACACATCGCTGTCTCATCACTGGAGATATTTCCACATTATATGACTACAAGACGACACGGGAGACGACTGAGTGCAGAGCCAACAAGACTCCTAAAGACCACAGCGAGGCCACAACTGGCACAGAAAGCAAATACCACGCAAAATCAAATGCACTGCGGTGTAAATAAAACTTCTCATGGAGGCGATGAGGATGTGGGGAAAAAAACAAAACAGACAAATCACTCTATTTATTTTACACCAAATGCCAGCAGCCTGTTCAGGTTAGTAGCGGCAGGGCCAGACAATATTGACGAAGCTCCAAATCCAAGGATATTGACACCATCATATAAGCCCAGGCAGATTCTCCCTCCTGACAATCTAATTAAAAAATAAACACACCCATAAACATAAAAGGTTCCAGAGGATATTGTTGGAAATAATGCTCTCTAAATTACATGTCACTTGTCTTGTTATAAAGGAACAAATAGGACAACTCTCCCACTGTCTGCGTGGTTTATTTTCAATCACGGCTGTGAAGGAGGAGTCAAGATATCTGCTTCTCAGGATTTGTCGTTTAGGCTACATGGGCCAAAAAGCAAAAAAAAAAAAAAAAATCTTTGCAGAGCATGAAAAACATAAAAGAAGAAGTTGTGCTATACTGTGGCCTGTGTCTGAAAGGAATGGGAGAAGACTGCTTTGTTTGCTCAACGATTAGTGCTTTAGAATAATCTCCAGGGCTACTAGAGAGAAGGAGCTGGGGACTCATTCATGGGGCCGACTTAACAGCCTGAAAAGATTAAACACTCATGCTGAGAAGACAAGCAAATTCAGTTGCTTGACAGCAATGGGGGTGAGAGAGACGGCGGAGGGAGAGTTTTTCAACGTTAAAAAAAAACCAGATACACGTTAAAACACTTGTGTCCCAACATACATGTACTGGACTGGTCCACACAAGTGAAGGATTCACACCCACATACGTTCATGCTCAATTAGAGAGAGTGTAAAGTCTTAATCAAAGTGGGCATTTTGGTCAACCGAACTCCTTCATCTTCCCTAAACTGTCTACACCCCATTATTCTGCCTCTACTCTCAGGTTGATCTTTTGTGTTGCCCGTCTTAGCATCGAGAAGCAAATCCCTCAGTTCAGCTAAATTACTAGGTTGGTCCTGAGCTGAGATAGTGACCCCATAGTCCTTCCTCACACCTGTTCACCTGAGTCTAAGGTTGCTTTGTGTGTGTGTGAAAGAGAATAAAGAGTTCACACAGCAGAACACTGTGCTCTTTGAGTAAAACTAAACCAAAAGAAAAAAGTCTTCACCTCTGTCAGGTCATTCTGTTTCATCAAAATAACCTTACAATCTTCGTGGAGGTCCGCCAGTGTCAAACAGGCAAAATTACTTTTTAAAAACCATGAATGATTTAACAATTTGGAGCATTAACCATTTAATATTTTTCTAACTAGATAATTGAGACATTTTTTGAAAAATTCACGTGAGTCCAACAGTTACAGACCTCAGGGAATTTGAGGCCATAAAACAGAGCCATAATTCACATTAAATTACCTTTTGTGGCTACAAAATTAGTTTCATGCCCAAGGAACGTGTTACGCTGTTTAGACATGAACCTGTTCCCTGAGCAGTGTCTGTCAGGTCCTGTAGTCAACGTTATATTTATTCTTTCTACAAAGTAAACACAGGACTATAGATCAGACTACTGTTCTCCTTCCCTCTCTGTCCCTGTCCATACAACAGGCCAGTGTTTGATAATGGTCTTCATCTCATCAGCAGATACCGTTCTTCTATTAACAAGGATTTTCTGTTGTCCACATTCGATCAACTGGTGAGCAAATAAACATTTGATGCGAGCGCTTTGTTCAAATATGGCCAGGACAAAGAAAATGATGATGTTGGTACAAAGTACTGAGAGTAAAACTGAAATGTACAAATACCATGAGGAAAACACTATTTCAAAATGAAAATGGCACTTTTACACTGTATTGGTCTATCGGTCTAGATTATTGACCAAAGCGATAGATTTATTTCTGCAGCGAGGTTTCTACACTGTTGAGGTTGAGAGAAATCATCTTCTAATAAAGGGGCGTGGCATTGTACTAAATACTTCTGATCTGAAGTGTAATAATGTGAAGACGTGTTCAGCTATTAATTTAAAATAGAAAATAAAGTTAGGTTTGTTTGTACATTGCACCTTTTTCTAATATTGCAGAGTACACTTGCATGCATTATTTTCCTAGTTTGGAAGGACCATTCTGTCTCTAATAGTAAAACTAAAACTCTGAGTTATCATACAGGCTGAAAGACCAACATTATTTTGCACTTCTAAATTGGACATAAGTCAGTGCTGCAAAGTACGGAGAGAAATACCACCAAGGTCCAGATAAAGGTTGTTGTGATTGTTCTACAAATGGCAGGGTTAGGGTAGAAAAACAAATACTGCCAAATAAGGAGCTCATATGACTGATCCAATGACCCTGCACACAGAGTGAGAAAACACATTTAAATTGATGTTCATCCACACAGGATATTTTCAACATGCTGCTGGAGACTTAATATCTGTACAAACAGGAATATTGAGCAGTATTTTTCTGTTTACTTCACCTTTACTTTACTTTTTTACAGCATTTTTATGCTTACAATAAGCATTAATTTCTCATGCAGTCAATAAACCCAGTAGCTTGTGGTTTGAAGTATCAGATATCTTTACATCTGTGTGTCTTTTTGTCCTAGCCTGATTGACCGGTGATATATCACCTCACCGCTGTAGGACCATTGTTGGATTTAAAGCAGATACTTGAGGGTGATAAATTTCTAAAAGTCTCCTCTGGAGCAAGACTATGAATTTTGATGCGGCTTTGTGTGTGGCAGTCTGGAGAGGGGAGCGCAGTTGAGAATGGAAGAGAGCGGGGTGAGAGTGATTAACCACTGCGTTGATGGGGATTTAGTGAGGATCGTGGTTAGTGATGGGTGGCCTATCTCTCTGTACACTCTGACTAACCACTGATCCCCAAGAGGGTTCAGCTCAGCTCAGCACTGCAGTCCGAAGCATTTTCATTAAGGATGGATTGAATCTCAACACCCCCCCCACCACCTCCAACACACACCTTTAGAAACACTTCATCAAATTTAGTGTTTTGCTTAGTGATTAGCCTCTCCCAGGCATTGAGAGAGTGAGACTGATTCCTGTGTTTATAAACCCGGAGTGAAGGCCCTTTCAGTTGAATGTGACCTATTTCAGTATTCCCTTAATGAACTGGGCTTCACGAAGGGGACACAAAAACTAGACTTCTTTTCAAATACAGGCAAAAGGACAACGGCGCGGCGGAGCGGGGGGGTGACCAGATTGATGGAAACGTGGTCACGTACATATGCTACAGTGTGATGTAACCGTCAAAAGCAGTCTGTGACAGAACAAGACAAACAGAACAGATCAAATAGCTTCTGTTTTTTTGCATATATTCATCTTCTCCAAAGCCATTCTAACCACGACACAGTTGGCAGGCTAAATGAAGCTAACCAAGAATAAAACACAATGCTGTGGAGATTTCCACTGTCTGACTATACTGCTTTGCCACTGTGTTGTGTGCTGTGCAGTGTGTGAACGCCACGGAGACCTTGTCCATATTGTGCTGGCTTATTTGAGAAGATCGGCAGGGAAGCAGGCCAGATGCCAGACTCCTCTTTACACTTTTTATGCACTCCCTATCGCAGGCATCACTCACCATAATGTTGCAACCTTTCACGTGGTTTTTTTTCTTCATTTTTCTACTTTAACATCTTTTCAAACCATCATGTCATAAAGGCTGTATCATTTATTCTACCCTCCGTTGTCCCGTTTTTTTTTTTTTTTTTGTAAATCAACCCCCCCCCCCCCCCCAACATGTTGCAGTGTCCTCATAGTCTAATAAGGCTATAATCCACACAATCTGTCAGTTGATACAGGCCTTCTTAAATGGACAAAAGCTGAGAAACAAGGGGTGAAATGGACGGCCTAAAGTAAAGCCTCATCTGCCGTGGTGAAAATGTGCAGAAAATCATATGACAGCAGTGTGGGAGAGTTGAAGGGCAGCAAACACTGTCCTTATAATAACTGATTGAATATCTAATCAAAGTTGATTTAACTGCAAGTCCCGTCATTGCTATAGAAAAAAATATTTTAGAATGGTTTGTTGTGTGTATTCTCATATTAAATGATATATTAATATTAGATATACAAATATTCTATCAAGCTTTATCCTGGCTTGCATATTCTATTTATGCTTCGATTAAAATAAAAAAGCCAAGGCAAAACCATGTATACCAACAATGACCTTTCATTTTGTAATTATTATTAAGAAATAAGGCATTTATGTCAACTTTTCCAAAATACTGTAATCCCTACAAGGTTGCTATTCTTGTTGAATGAAGAAAATCAAATTTCGCTCCACCCACCAATGAAAAAACAAGGTGGCGCTGTGAGCCATGAGTCCTGAAGAGTTCAACAGTTTACTTACATCTCTGGCTTTGCCATAAAAGGCCTCTTGAGATGCTGCCTCCAGGGGGCCAATGAAGAACATCGGGTGGTTTTCTCCATACCTACAAACAAATGTTTAGTATTAGATAAACAAACAACAGATGGACAGTAACGGAACACATTTCCACAATCTGGTTTTGTGCTGTTTCTGTCCTTTTAAAAATATGTGATGTGTTGCTCACCTAGAGGAAAATTCGGCAGTAAAGTGCAGTAAGGCATCGGCTTCATTCTCACTATTTTCTGGCACTGCAAAAAAAAAAGAAATCATAGCAATGATTTCAAACTGTTCAATAATGTTGTCTCTCTATTTTATTTTTTTAATTTAGGTTGTTTTACTTTTTTATTGACATGCACAGATTGAGAACACATGCTTTGGTTTACTTCTCAAAGGATCTAAGGTATAAATAACAGTTGAGTCAACACTTCAGCTACTCCAGTTCACATACTCATGGGTGATTTTCGACAACTTGAGGAGCCCATCCCAAACATCTCTGAATCATCAACACCCAACTCTGATGCGTCTTCAAAATCATCTCCCTCACTGTCACTGATCATATGGACATCTGAAGACTGCAACAAAAATAGACATATATTTATTAATTAATCAGCAGAATAAAGAAGACTGATTCAAAAGGGACATGAGAATTACTCAAGGAGACGGTAAGTAATCTGGATCAAAGGTGCAAAGAAGCACAGTTCACAAGGACTGCTAATCTAGATGAATACCTCCTCTGTGGGCTCCTGGGCATTTACTGTAGAAGATCTCCGACAAACACTGAGGTGATGGCAAGGATAGCTGATTCCCGAGGAGGCTAGCGTCATCTAAAAAAAAAAAAAAGGAAACATAAAATAAGTGTGACATCGAATTCATCTTACCAAGCAAGTCAGTAACAATACAGGGAATCACCTCATAATTTTACTCTAAGCTTTGAGTAAGATGTAGTAAAATATAGACAACAAAGATAATTTGATGAGAAGACAAAAAGACAAAAGTCCCTGCGAGTCCTAACTGTTGTCACAGCTGCTCTTGCCCTCTGCCATTATAAGACATTTGTGACTTTGAAAACGTCATTGTTTGTGCTTCTCGGCGCACCTGAGACTTGGATGAGGTGTCTGTACAAACGCAGCACGGTAAAGTGCGACCAGGGTTTGCAGTTTGAGAAGACTTGAATAACGAGTTCCTGAAATCCA